TGTGTGTGTGTGTGTGTCCTTATCTGTTCCTCCTCTGCTGCTTCCCTCTCTCTCCCCTGTCTGTCTTTTTATAGCTCTCTCTCTGTCTCTCTCTGCTTACATCAGGATTGAGAGCAGACCACAGATGCCAAATCTGTTCAGAATTACTGACTGCAGACAAAATACTTAGAGATAAGATACAGTTTAATTAGCAAATTCTTCTGAACTCCCTTTTTGTAAATACAATTACTCTAATCTCATGTCTTCAATCTGTTTTCAATTGTTATAATTAGCTATAATGATCAATTTTGATAGGAAACATTGCTTTTCTGCTCCAATCTGTAATTTGTGTACAAAACCACTTTGCCTAAATGGTGAGTACAAGTTCAAAAGCGAACCATGTATACACTAATTACATATTTGTTCTTTTTGTAGGCCTCCAGTGAGCTTAAATCTTACTTTGTAATTAACTTTTAGCTAAAACAAGCTTCTTTTCCAACCTGCCCAGACACGTTAATTTCAAAATCTCAGTCTTAGTTTGTGACTCAAACTCAAACAGTCGAACCCCGATGAGAAATGACTTGATTGCCTCTCTTAATCTTTTTGAAAGGGTTGGCCCAGGTTACTATCTGCCTCTTTGTCTGCAGGTACTCTGCAATACATGGCTCCAGAAATCATTGATAAGGGCCCTCGAGGGTACGGGGCCCCGGCTGACATTTGGTCCCTGGGATGCACCATTATAGAAATGGCAACTGGGAAACCCCCATTTCATGAGCTGGGAGAACCACAGGCAGCTATGTTTAAGGTAGATATTGTGTACACATATATATAATAAAGACACGTGTAGTAGAAGCTGTAGACCTGGTTTTAGATCACCCCTGTGGGTTTTTTTTATGTTACAGGTGGGAATGTTTAAGATCCACCCGGAGATCCCTGAGTCCTTGTCACTGGAGGCCAAGTCGTTCATCTTGCGCTGCTTTGAGCCGGACCCTAACAAGAGAGCCATCGCCTCGGACCTCCTCAGAGACACTTTTGTCAGACACAACGCCAAGGGCAAGAAGAGCAAGATCGCCTTCAAACCACCAGGTTAACACACACAAACATACACAAACAAAGCACAGGAAGCACATTGACCTCCCTCCTCAAATCTGAATATAACATTTTTGCTATTATCTCCCAGGTAGTGAAGCTCCTGGGTACATTTCTGCTTTTCTCTGTCCATGTACTAACCTAAAGTCTCTCTGACAAACAGTTCTTGACAAACTGTCACAACATAGTAACACTAACAGATATTCTAAGAGAGCATTAGTGTAGCACAGGAGTCTGGCCTAAAAGGAAAAGAGACTATACATTTTGCTGACCTTTCCATCTAAACTTGATTCAGTCAGGAGAGATTAATTGAAAGAAGCGCTTAAAGTATTCTTTAATTAAGTAATTTATGAGCAGAAACTTGTTGTGGGGAAGAACAAGAACATTAAGAAAAGCTGGATGTGATTCCTTATTAACTAATTGGACGGACTGGTTAGATGGCTATTTCTGACAAAAACCTGAGGTCAATGGGGCAAAGGGGTGGAAGTGGGTTGAGTGAATCAGACATTGAAATTACAGCTGACAGCAGCTGAGAAGGCAACGTATTTTAAAGTTTGCCAGCAACAAGATGATTAAAACATATATGTGGAGCTTTTGCTAAGCTCCAGTGAGTTTGCTTGTCATTATCAGATCATTCGATTCCCTTGACCTTTGTTAAAAAACGTCTCTGTTTCTGCAGACTACATCCACAACGTGTCCCTGCCAGTGCAGTTGCAGTGCGAGGCCACTGGGAGCAGCAGCAGTGAACACGGTTCCGTGAGCCCTGACTGCGACTCCAAACACGACGTTTTCTTCCAGAAGAAGAAAAGTTCTGGCTCTGAGAACATGCTCAAACCCGCCAACTCAAACTATTTGAGGTGTGTATGTGTGTGTTTGAGAGCAGATAGTGAGTTCATTCAGGTGAGCTGGGGTCACTTTTATAGCTTTTACATCACTCTGAAATCCAAAGTTCAGGTATGGGGCTCAGATTTTTAAAATATTTTGGATTTGCTTGTTCTCAGCTGCATATTGACTCCAACACTGACGTTAACCTGGCAAATTCCACTTCTTTTTAACACTATGTGCCTATTCTGAATGCAAAAATGTTAGATACTTACAATATGAAAACTATGTGTCACTGCCGACACAATCCCACTGGGACAGTACAAATCATGTGAAAAGATGCAAATATGTGTGTGTGTATGTGTGTGTGTGTTTGGGTGGCAGGTGGCCTTATTGTGCTCACAGTGCGCTCTGCCGCCTTTTACAACACTGATATAATGAACTCTGATCATTTTACGAGTTTCAGCTGGCGGCTGTGCACACACGCACCATCACGCGCACATCTGCACGTGCACAGACACGTGTGTGTAGACCTACATGCACGTTCCTGCCGTGCTGACTCATGCTGTCTCTGCACTTTCCTGGGCACACATAGTAGCCAGGAGAGGCTTGTATCTGTAAATAAACTGAATGGCGCGTCACGCAGTTGTAAATCAGTCTTATTTTATATTGCAGTGAGATCACTCTGTGTGTGTGTGTTGCAGTGTTCCGGATGAGGGTTCGGTTTCGGAGGACCGCAGTGCCCCCCCCTCCCCTGAGGACAGGGACGGTGGTCTGTTCCTATTGAAGAAGGACAGTGAGAGACGGGCCATTCTGTTCAAGGTCCTCAATGACGACCAGGCAAAGGTCATCTCTAACCTCAAGGAGAACCACATCCAGGTGTGTTTGGATGTTGGTGACGAAGGTTAACTGTTTATTTAACAATGACCATGTCATATGCACACACAGTAAGTAAATAAATCTCTAAATAGTCTTCTTCCTATGCATTGGATTGGAACATTCCTGGTGGTGACACCTAAAAAAGAAACGCTGCCAGTGCCCCCATCCCACAATACACACATATTATTTACTCAAGTAGAAGTACAGGTAGAAAGTGAAGAGTAAAAGTCTGCTCTGCGTGGTGCACTGGTCTTGATGTTGGGAAGGTGTGCAATGATACAAAAATTAAATAAAATAAACTCAGATGCATTCATCCTCATACACTAAAGTAATGTTGCCTGTTTTGAAAATGTATAATGTATAAAGTACAGATATTAAAATATCAGGGGTAACAGTAAAAAAATGTCAGAGAAATAAATACTCAACTACTTAAGTACAATAACATTACAATTTGTACTTCTTACCTCTGCAAATAAGGGAATAAAAGCAACACCAGATTTCTTTCTTTTTTCAACAAACAAAAATGTATGCAATTAATTAATCTACAAATAACCATTTATTCAAATAATGATGCTCCTTACAAAAGGTGATTTAAAATGTGCTATTTAATAAAACGTACATAATCCTTCAGTGCACTCCTACATTTAGCTCCGTAACTTCCATCTTTTTCAACCTGTACTGTATTTTCCCATATTTTTGAGTTTAAGGGACTAGTGATTAAACGTCTTCTTTTCCTTTTGCTCGATCCGCTGTGTCTAACCAAGCCGTTGTAGTTGCAGCGCTCTCACTCAACACTGTTGTCCCCATTAGTCACTTTGACACAAAAACACGGAAAACTACACTTTAAGAATGCTTGAGATCAGTTTGAAAACCTAAATGGAAAGGTAAAATAAAAAAATTACACAGGAGCAAATCTGCTAAATAAAAATATGGCTCAAGTCCATGTAAGACTACTTTCTGTAGGGTCACATTAATGAAGTCATCAATTCAGCTTGGTTGTCTAACCCATTAGTACACTCCACCTGCACTGTTGGCTGTATAAGTTACAATCACAGGACCTTTTTGTGTAAAATGTGGGATGTAAAAAAAAAAGCCTGTAATGCTCCCACGGTGTCTTTTCTGATACCACCACTAGGTGGCGCAGAAGCCCGTTTTATAATCCTTCAAATAGGCCTTTCATTCATTCATTCTAGCTGAGATTTATCTTTAGATGTGATGTGCAGGTGTAAACCATAGACTTTACATTGGGACATTAATGCTTATGGGCTCAGTAAGCTTCTGTATGTAAATGTATATATGTTTGTGTGTGTATGTGTGTGTGTGTGTATAGGGCAGTGAAGAGCTCCAGCTGTCCGTCGATCACATTAAGCAGATCATCTGCATCCTGCGAGACTTCATCCATTCCCCAGAGAGGCGCGTCATGGCGGCCACCATCTCCAAGCTCAAGCTGGACCTGGACTTCGACTCCACCTCCATCAACCAGATACAGCTCGTGCTCTTTGGCTTCCAGGACTCGGTCAGCACACACACAACCACACACACACGGCACATGCTCATGCTCATGCACTATATACAAGCAAAGACCCCATAAAGATTATAGTGCAAAGATTCTGCTGCTTATAATTAATCTAACAGCATTTGCAGAGCTTGTTGTCATGGTTACAGGTGATCAAAATACAAGAAAAAAGACCCTTTATGACCCTTTGTGAACTAGTGTAGGCTGGTACAAATTGTAGTATGTGTAATTAAAAACAACATTGTTAAACATCCAATTTACTTTTTCACTGTGGAATAGCAATGTAAGAAATTTGTCAAATTAACTTGGCAGACAGAAACCATGTTTCATGTAATGTGTAGATGATTATGGATGAGAAGGACCAATAAATGAATCACTAGTAAGTGTAAATATGAATTGTCTTGTTTTGTTTATCCAACCCAGAATTCTTTTAAAACCTTTTATTAACTCTTTTTACTATAAATGAAAATCCACCAAACCTAGCAGAATGAGTCCTACAACTTCAGTTTTTAAAGTTAAACTCTTTACTGTGAATTCTGAACTCAAACAATCCCCAATATGTCTGAAATGTGAGGTATGTACGATTACACACAGTGGAGCTAATCAGTCACCAGAAAATGAACTTTATTAACCGAGTAACTTCAGGTCTGAATATCTGTTGTTGTTTCTTTGTGTGTGATGTTTTTCAGGTAAACAAAGTCCTGAGGAATCATCACATTAAACCCCACTGGATGTTTGCTATGGATAACATCATCCGCAGGGCTGTGCAGGCTGCCATCACCATCCTCATACCAGGTGGGCAGCCAGATGGCTGCACTGGCCTGAGCATTTACCGCCATCTAGTGGCAGAAATTCGAATCTCACGTCTTTCTGTCCTCAATATGCATATTTATACATAAGATCATATTCATAAGCTGTCATGAGCAATTACAGCCTTGTATCAAAACTCTTAACATAAGGTCCTATACCCAGAGTCATACAGTTGAAAATACAGTAATGTGTCAATGACCAAACTATCACCCCACAGAGCTGCAGACCCACTTTGGCCCGGCATCAGAGTGTGAGGGAGCAGAGAAGGAAGATGAAGTGGATGAAGAGGAGGCGGAGTTTGGTCCTGTTTTACCTGCACCTGCTGACGACCCCGGGACGACAGCTGACCCCGCACAACCTGTGGTCATCCCGCTAAACTCCACCCACTCACAGGAGCATCAACGCTCGCATCATCAGCTGGGTGCACAGCTGGGCCGGCTCAAACAGGAGACCAACAGGTGCGTGCAAACATACACCTCAAGCGACTTTGTCTGGTAGCGTTTTTTTTCCTATTGCATGTGAGGGAGTGTCAATTCAAAAACATTCAGACACGCATACATGGAACACCTCGATACAGACACATGGAACCTATGATAATAAAGAGAGTTGAAGAGAATGTGTACCTGCATGTACAGTCACACACCCAAACCTGTAACCCTAACACACACACATGAGCTGGCCACAAATGAAGTAGCTGCAGGGCTTCATTTGATTGATGTGCGACACCAGATCCCACAGAATGATGACACACAGTGGAACTGTCACAGTAGACGGCGGTTAAGTCAAAGTGGAAAAGCTCCACAGTAAAAAAAAAAGCCTGACATCTAGGTATTATATCAGTGGCTAAATATCGTAAACATTGAAAAACTGTAATTCATTTTGTATTTTTACGCCTTTTTTAATCAGGTAAAAGAGTCACTGAAGTAACATTTTGTCTTTTAGGAAATATCTGCCAAAGCTGCATAAAATCAGTAGCCGGCAGTAAGGACAATGACACCATACAATACAAAAACTCACAGAGATTATCCATTATTTAGGTAATGTCCTGCACAAGAGGTGCTTTCTAAATGTATACTTTGGACAAATTATTGTTAAATTGACTCAGCAAACTAATTGCAAAACTACTTTAAACACTACACTGTTCACATAAGGCTTTAAATAGACTCTGTGATCGGTATTGGCCGATACTGCTTCTAGTGATGGTTAGATTTTCTCCTTTTGATGTGTGAGGGAGTGCCATGTGAAAATGTTCAGATAGACACGATTGTAAAAACTCTCTACAACCACGCTCATATTGTGGGAAAGGTTTTTTGTGATAATGAGTTTCATTTCATTGTCAGTTGTGACATCAAGTTGAACATAATAACAAGCTGGTCACGATGTCACAAAGGCAGTGTCACCAGATTCTACAGAATAATGAGACGTGGAAGTTACATCACTTTTAGAAGATACAGTATCTGGCAAAGACATAAAAACAGTAGATAGCCGTCATCTGAGAAAACCTTAAGACAACATGAGGCAGATTTTTACATTTGAGAACATGTTGCTAAGATTCTGATTTGAAATCAGCTGACTGATCTGTTTTATTGGGGGGAAAAAGATTTTTATAAAACTATCGTATATACATAATTTTGGTCCAGACTGAATTGAAATATATTGAAATTAAAACTACTAACTATGTTCTCCTGAGGATGAAGCCTTGAGACTTTGGTGATCCCCTGACTTTTCCTGTAGCACCACCCTCACCTGATTGACACTTTTTGACTTATACTGAAATACTTACTTTTGTATGGATGGCTGTAGAAGCACTTATAGCTTTAATAAACAAAAGCTATGAATCTTCAGAGCTGGACCATTAAATGAAAAATAAAAATAATATGACAAAAATTGCACAAAACTGACTCGGCCAATCACTGATAGCCAGTATATTCATCCAATCGCCCAACCCAGGATTGCTATGAAATTTGGTGCAGATATCCATGGTGCCTAGAGGATGAACCCTTCTGACTTTGGACTCTAGCACCATCATCTACAGTATAGATTGCCATGAAATGTGGTACAGATAGCCATCAGCCTCAGCTGTGGTTCATGTTACCATACGGTGTGATGAGGTTGGAGAGACAGCCCATTACAGACGTAATAAACATACCAAAGTCTTCACCACTGAGCTCTTTTGTTCCTTCCTGGAATGCAGTTTACACACACACACACACACACACACACACACTTAATGCATTATAAAAATTCAAAATTGCTCTGGAACATTTTTTTTTAGACACTTTATATTCCCCCATAGTTACCTAATCTACTCTTTTGCTTTTTGTTAAACTTTTAACTTTTTTTTTTTAACTTTGTTTTAACATTGTTTGGGGACGATTCGTAAAACCTATTTTAATTTTTTTATAACTTCTGTAGTTTGAAACATATCATTTTTCTTTGACTTTAAAATCCATTTTTACACACACCTGTAGCGCATATGTCTTTCAAGTGTGTGTTCTTTCTACCTCAGTACCTCGATGAAGGCCTCTAAATGAAGCGTTTTCATGCCGGTCATGCATTATTTATCGCCTTAAATCTTTCTTTCTTGTTTACAGGTTTAATTTTTTTTCTCCATGGCTTTCACGCTTGTGTTCATTTAATTTGTATGGTGAATAAACAGAAACTGCTGGAGATTGTCCTCAGCTATTGAGAAATTGTAATCTTGTTTATCGGGTCACACCAGTCAGTTGACTGTGCCAGACTGTGCGCCAGGTTACAGTTCTGCACATCTCTAGAGGCAGTTATGAGGATGTTATATTTACGTTGGCTCTTTTTTCCTCAAATGGTAAAAACAATAGATGAGCTACTGTTTACTAGGTGGTCCTCAAACAGAGCATGGATGTTATTACGTTTTTGTTACCTTAGAATGAGCATGTTGAACTGCCATGTTTCTACAGTAGCCCATAACGGACAAACCAAACACTGGCTGTAGGTAGGACTGCTTCACGCTTGGAAGGGGAGGGTGAAGTGAGGGAGTTGCAATCTGCAACTACACTGTTAAATCCCTCTAAATCCTACAAAAGATATAAGTTCCTTTGCTCACCTCTGCCTCTATTTATAATATTTCTAGATGTTTTCTTCATTTGTATGTTCCAGTTATGTATGTAGTTTTTTTTGCAGTGAAAACATTATTTTATGTTTGTGTGTAATAACAGTAGCTCTACTTTTCCTGTTAGCAACAGGAACTCAAACCTACAGTCTTTACCATTGTGAACCTTCACATTCAAAACCCTTAAAAGGTGGGACATTATTCACCATCTGTTGTTTGGAGATTTTTGGGTGGTGTATTTTTTTAATACTTGTATGGATTTTCATTCATCATTAAGGTGCACAGTTCAGCTCCAGAGTTTCGTTTCAAACCCCACCTCTAAGAGGATGTTTAATTAGCCCGACACGAGCGCACTGGTGTGTATTTTTGCAGAATTAAAACTCCTACATAAGGCGGATGAACAGAGCATCTATATTTTTGATAGCTTCCTGTTCGTCTATGCGCAAATGCCATCTATCCCAGCCCTCCATGCCTACTATATGTCACTGCGGTTCCCCCTGTAGGCTGCTGGAAGAGCTGCTGCAAAAGGAGAAGGAGTACCAGCAGGTCCTGAAGGCCACACTGCAGCAGAGAACACACGACCTGGAGCTGGTCAAAGTCAGACACAGACCACCGGGTAAACTATTTGACTTTATTTATTGATTAAATATTCTTCTATCTGTACTTCTCTAACTCTTTTTTTTTATAGACATTTCACCTCCCTCCATCTTCCAAATCCCAGCCGACCACGAGCCAGACAAGCAGCTCACTGATTGGCTGAAAGAGCAGGGGGCCGACGCTGACACCATAGATAAGGTTGAGTATCTGTTGAACATATGTCCGTAGCACCACCAGAGCACATTACATTAAGTAAGTGGTTAAACTGACGGCTGTGTTGTTTTCTAGTTCGTGCTGGAGGAATACACACTGACTGACATTCTCAATGACGTAACCAAAGACGACCTCCGCTGTCTACGTCTACGGTAACTCATATCTGCGAATCCAGTCACAACAAAGTTTGACAGAAAGGATCGTCAAATCAAGCTGCCCTTAGCGGCTGACATATTAAAAAAGTGGTGGTACAAAATAAAAAGCCCTTATCAGAGTTATTATTTACATGTTTGTATGCACATATGTGCAGTTTCTACAAGTTCTAAGATGAATAAGATAGTAAGAAGTACAGTAAGTTGCCATTTTGGAGAGGTTAAAGGGACTGTTGACCCCAGAATGAAAAACATTTTTTTTGTCTTACCTGTAGTGCGATCTTTTGGTGAGATGCCTGTCTGCGTTGTCTCAAATAAAATGGAACCAGATGGCTTGTGGTGGTCAAAGTACCAAAAATAAAACTTACTTGAAAAACTCAACTGCAATGTCTCTTTCCAGAAATCATAACACTGTTAAGATAGTCCACAAATGTCAAGCAGTTTAATGTAGGAACTATTCTACCGAACTACACTTACCAAACGCAGTGGTGCTAGGTGAGCTAGCTGACATTACAGCTCAGTCGAGGAGGACGCCATCTGAGCTGCCACAAGCCTCTGGTCTAAGAGTAGATGATACATGAGTGATACGGAGAAAGAAAAACATTCCTACATAAAACTGCTCTCAACAAGGTTATCTTGAGTAACCACGATTTCTGGAAAGTGACATTGCTGTTAAGTTTTTCAAAGGTTGAGCACCACAAGTCGAGTGCCATCTGGTTCCATTATATCGGAGAGAAAGCAGACATCTCTACAGCCAATATCTCCAAAACTAGGCAACTCAAAACAATCTAGATGGATAAACAGCACTACAGGAAAGAGGAGAAAAATATGGGTTTTTGATTTTGGGGTGAACTGTGCCTTTAAATCTTAGCCACAGACTTTAGACTATCTCACTTTTAGCAAGGATGCAGACCTGCAAATGTTTATAAAAGAAACTGTCCACAATTCAAGAGAAGAAACTACAAAATGCTAACTTAACAAGCACGGCAGGTAAATTGAAAAAAGCTTTCCTGTAAAGTTAAAGAGTATGTTGTTTTATGGTTTTATTTTTATTTTTTAGACAATTTCAAGTCCTTACTCCTTTCCTCCCAAGTCTCATACTTTCCTGTAAGTTGACCAGTGATGCAACCAAATCGATCATGACAGTGTTCGGGACTCATTTCCTTTTTCATTAAGTCTTTTAATCAAAAAAAGAGAACAAAAGTAGATGACGTCTTTCTCAAGTTTCTTCTTTTACTCCACAAAAAGCTGACGCTATCATAAATCACATCTGTCACAATTAACCCTTCTTTCCCCTCAGGGGTGGAGTCCTCTGCCGTATCTGGCGGGCCATCCAGCGGCACCGGGAGCGCGACAGGGTGAGGAGCGAAGAACGCTCGGAAGATGAAGCATGATGGGAGACATGGACTACAACTCTGGAGGACTCTTGTTTTGCAGAAACACGCACACATCTGCACACTACCAGCCCTGCATGGTTACTCTACTTTCTCTCCCTTCTCAGTGCCTTTTTCATGTTGTAGTCTCTGCGTTTTATATACAGGACTGACTGAATCTCCACACAGTGACCAGACCAAAGCGCTTTAGTGCAGGCACTACTGTATGTATCTGTATGTGCATTTAAATGTGTATGTGTGCCACAATGCGTTTGTGCTTGAGAATTTTAAAAGGAAAATTCATCCTAGTACAGTTTCAAGTGATACTCCACACAGAATCTAACTGTAGACTTGATGCAGGTTGTCTCAGTAAAAAGTATCAAAATGTCCTTAAAACTTTTCAAAATGTCCTGTAGCATAATATGTTTGGTGGTGTTGATTTAAATAAATTTACAGTCATAATTTTGCTAAAATAGGGTCGCATTGCTTCCATCTTAAGGCCTTTACACACCGGGGACCTGACCAATAAACAGTAGTGATTTGTTTTTCAAGGGAAAATTTATGTTTTTGTGGGCTTTGAAGAAAGCATCTGGATATAATGGCTTCAGTTCCCCATCATTAAATCCCATGGTGCAGTCTCTGTGGAAAAATTGTTGGCCACACTGTCATATAATGTTTGTCCTTGTTAGTCGTATAATATTGGTTGATAATGAACACCAACCATCCGGTCCGCCATTAGATGTGACGTGACCTCTGTTCCGCACAATTTCATTAGTTGAGTAGTTTCGTACTGAAAAACTATCATTGCGTTCTGTGTGAAAGTGACTCATGACGACAGTTGCAAAAAAATAGATTGTGTGCAAAAATAATCGCACAAAACAAACGACCCTGGGATTCAAAGGCCTTTATTCCTCACGCATGACTCTGTTGAATCTTCTTGTTCTTCCGTTGGTTAGAACTGCCCCATCCTTCCTCACACTGAGCATACAGATGGAGAGCTGAAGGTCGATTATGCTGTAGGAGTGATTTGACACGTTTCTGTAGACAATTTGATATTGAATCCAAGCACAGTCCTTGCAATGAAATGTATCATCAGCCATAGAAATTGTACACACTTTTATTCAGCCAAAGCACGCGAAACCACTTCTATGGTCTTGAAGACCTTGAGGCTGATCTATCAGTCTGTCAGTCTTCTGTGTTTGGGTCTGCCCCCTTGTTTTTCAGAAAAATTGTAAACTCAAGGCCTCAAACAGTTCTAGTTTCAGGTTGAATATATTAACATTTACTGGATAATTATTCCAAAACTGTGCGATGATGATCTTCCATATATGACTAGAGATCTCTGTTATAAGTCTTGTTAAATACAAACTTCAGCTAAAAGCCTAATAATGCCTTAAATTTTGTAAACATTATTAAACTACATTAAGATGATTTATTGAAACACACACATTGTGACTGCCACTACATCACTGCCTTTACATTTGTACGCATGTTATTAGTGGCGTAAGATTTCCTTTATTCTTAATGAAGTAACTGTTCTCATCTGTGTGTATCTGTGTTGAAATGTTTTTTTTTTATTATTCCAACTGTTCACTGTGTATGTGCTTATCTGTTTCATGATTGCTTTACAACTGCAATAAACCTGGAATTAAGGAAGTTGATGCCCGCATTCCTCACACTCTTTGATGTCAGCTCTTACACTATGTTCACACTCCATGCCTTAGCGCTCAGATTGTTTTCGAGAACATGTCAGATTCCAGTGTAAAGGTCACGGCCCTGAAGCATGATAAAATGTCAGTGTAGAGTGAAGTAAAAAGTCAGATATGGGCAAAATCTGATTTAGGTCATGTGGGCCTGTGAACGTGGCCTCTGTCAGGTCTTTGCAAACAATGCACACGCACACCAGTTGAAGACGAAATTAAATATTGAACAGAAAAACAAGGTAATTTTTCACAAAGATATTGAAGAGATAAAGTAACCTTAGACAGTAGTACCTTGCTGGTAGTTTAGATAAACCTCTTTTTACTGCTGCTGTTTGTGTGTGCTTCATTAATTCCTTTCATGTGTTCTTTTACCTGCTGAAACATGTTTGCATGCCTGTGTGTGTCCTCCTACCTGCCTGACATTCCCTCTCTCTCTCTGGATTTTATTACCTCATCTAGCTGCCTGTTCAGCAAAACTGCTGAGCCCCATTTTATCCTGTTACCCTTATCTGTCACAGTTAATATTTAAATAGCACATTCCAGCATTGGGTTATTAATTCTGTGGTATTTTATTGATGTTTGAAGGGAAAGTATCTATTTGGTAGGAGTTTTTTTGGGTTAGTTCACCCCAATCACAAGACTGAGAGTTTAGAGCCATGCTTACAGCTCTGTAAAGCTTAGAGAGAGGTACTTATGTTAACTTAACTTAACTTAAGTTCTAACGTCATGCATGCTTGCAGTGATGATAATAAAATGCTGATCTTGGGCAAGTATAACTTGATGGAAACCACATTAATCCTGAGCCAATATGTCAAGTGACAAAATGTGCACGTTTACCAGGCCAACAGGTTTATTTCATCATACCAAAGGGACAAGGAAAAGGAAACCAGCTTGGAACTCATCAATGAACAACAAAATAAAGTTCCCCACACGTAAACAACCAAACTCTAGTAAACATTTAAGGAAAGCTTTGGAAATTTTAACCAAAAATAGCCGAAACAATGAGAAAAAACATTTTTTTTTGCAATAAAACAAGATACGCTGTTTCCAAAATATGTCAAAGTACAAGGGTATTTGCTCTCTTGCAGAGATCGATACCACTCTCATATCTGTCAGGTAAATAAGGTTTGCTCCCAGTCCATTTGCTTTCCTTAGAATAAAGGGAACAGGTAAACTCCTAGCCACTTGTATCAGGTTCAGAGTAGAAACAATGCACAATGTTTTGTTTTTGTAAGCTTGTTGGCATTTATGTGGTATTACATGTGCACAGATAACCACACTACAACACTGTGGCCAGAAAGAAGAGAGTTTAGACTTTAATTTTACTTTATGATCAATAAGTCATAACCAAAAAAAAAAAAAGTAAATCCTCCTCCATCATACATAATCAATAGCAAGGATTTGCTAACCTTAAAGATACTGATGCCTTGTGAGAATCTACCTAATTATGCAAATACCCTCTCCATTAACTGCACCTGTGTCAATTATCCAGCACTACTCTGATTGCCTGGCAGTTGACAGAAGCCCTGCAATGTATATAAGCTGCCATTTTGTATTTACATGCCCTGGGGAGTTAAAACATGTAGGGGTTAAGTCCATTTATTAAAGGAAGCAATGTACATTGGTATTTTTTGGCTATGAGTTACTGAGCACAAAGCAAAATAGGAGTTAAACCTCTCTCCTTTTTTTGGTGTCATGATATGGCCTTGCATTCAAAGACTTTCTTGATACCTTTTTTGTGTAGAACTGAACTGAAATGACGCGGTCTTGAAATTTTTAATGTTGCCAGCTAATGAGTCTACATCAAATGTAAACTGTCATGGCCATGGCTGTACCCTGGCCTTTTCCTTGTGTTTATTTGTGTGTCTCTTAAGCTCCTGTCTGTCTCTCATTCTCTGTGTGTTGCCCTCCTGGCTTCAGCTCTGCTCCTCAACTCACGTGTCTGCAATAAACTAACCTCTCCCAGTCTGCTCACCTGCCTTCCATCAAGTCACCACTCAACAGTATATCAGTTCTAGTTCTCCACCCAGTTGGTGTCAAATCATTGAAGTTTCCTTTGTGTGTTAACTCCCTGACTAATCGCTACCATTGTGCTACCACGACTGCCTTCTAGATCTCAACCAACTCTCCATCTGACACTAAGTCATCCACCCTCGCTCCTCTAAATGCTCATACCCATAATCATCATTGTTGTGGCAAATTTGTGTAATAAATCTTCATAATGTTACGCATTTGGGTCCACTACTTAACCAAACATGATAGAAAAACCCTGATTAATGCTGTCTTCATTTGCACATGATGGCTACTGTAAGGAAAGACTGAGGCTAAAGCTAAATATCAGGCAAAAAGTTAGCATCCTGTATAAGACATGGAAATAAAGAAACATTATTTTTATTTATTTTTATATATACTATATCAATCCCTAATGGATATATTCCTTTTTTCACTCTTACTTTTACACACACACAGGCCCAAAATACAATCATGCACATCTAGGGCTTCTAGCAAATGTGGAGAGATAGTGGAGTGATGGGCTGCTATGTAGGGGTGCTCCCCAAACATTTAGGGGTTTTGTGCCTTGCTCAAGGGCACCTCTCCAGCTGCCAGTCCACGCTCCATACTGTGGTCCGTGCTGGACTTGAGCCACCGGTTCCCAAGCCAAGTCTCTACAGACTGAACTACTGCCGCCCCACAAATTGTTCTTGTATTGTAAGTGTATGAGTTAACACTCATTTGTAAGATAATGATTTAGGATGAGGACTAACATGTGTTTGTCAAACATAACTTCCTCAGCTCAACCTTGGCTTGGGTTGCTGGAGTGTGAATTTATCCAAATCCAATAAGGAGCATGACAAAGTTTCCACACAGAGGGAACTTCCAACACAATGGATATACTAGTGGTGAGCAGGGCTTTGTTCTTTTTACCCAGTGTGTAATCCCCCAAACTAACATAGCTAGTTAATTCTAGTTTCCTCCTTGGCCTTGGAATTTATCTGAATCTGTAAGCTATTGTTTATCTACAATAGAGCAGATAACAGATTTTGTGCTTGTGTATGTTGCTTTAAAAGGGCTTTCAAAAAGGCACACTTTTCGTCAGTGTTGTGCGTTGTTAAGAGTGTGTGTGTGTGTGTGTGTGTGTGTGTGTGTGTGTTTCCATGGTGAAAGTTACCACAAAGTTGCAAGACGGTGTCGAATCTTGCGAGGTTTTGGGTTCACACACACTTGGCGATGTTTCCACGTTAGTATGCTTGAAGAGAAACAGAAATTACCAAAATAAAAGAGTGATATGGGTTAGTTTGGAAGTATGACGAACAATTGGAAACACAAGAACAGTAAAACTCTTTGGAAGTGAGTCAACCTCAGTGTCTTTCATATCAGTTATATCAAAGTCAAAATGGCAGCTGATAATGGGAAACTGGAAACTCAGAAGTGAGTCAGCAAAATAAGGACATGGGGGGGGAAAAAAAGAGGACAAAGCATGAAACATAATCTTACACAGCATTAATGCTACACATCCTGTGCTGCTTTGCCACCGGCACTACACCATCCCTCCTCTTTTTATAGTGGATTTCACAGCACGAATGTCAGAGGAAGCCGTACAGCAACCATTATGCCCTGTACAAACACAAACATGCACACACCAGCAGAATAGTCATCTGATATTTTAATCAAACCAGTTTTGGGCAGGTAACTTCCTTAAAGTCAGATCACATCTTGATGGTTGTTCGCTCATACGTTTGTGGGGTTTATGTTTCATGTTGTCAGGGCCTTCCTGTGTTTGTGGTTGGACACAAACTAATTAGTTGTAAGTCATATGAAGTGCAATGTGACTCTTCATAAAGACAGACTACAGACTGAATGGCATGAGTTTAAAAAAAGAACATACGCTAGATTTAATGTTCAACAGCTATATGTTAACTTTGTCTATATGCTCTTAGGTGTTAAAGCTGTTTTCAAGGAGAAAAGCTGCCTTCTTTGGCCCAAAATGATTCTGATGAGAAAACGTTAAGGTTGCAGGAAAGAAAACCAAAACAATGAGCTGAAAGATGCTAAAACTCACTGAGGGGAAACTGCAAAGTCTGGTGATAATTCTGTGATCGGTCACAATGAGCAAACCCTTTCATATTACACATTTCTTCAAAATATTGATTAATGCAGCTTTAAAATCTGTTCATGAGTCATGATGAAGAAGGAAGCTGTCAGTCAGTATCAATAACAGTATTTCATTCAAAATAATTTATCTAGCTGAGAAACACAGTATATTGCAATTTAAAAACAAAACAAAAAAAAACCTACCTGGTGCTAAAACTGAGTCTTCACCTCAGTGGAGCAGGTTTGATTCCATTCCCTCTCTGCTTAATCTCAGTCATTCTGCAAACAATGACTTGCATGCCAAAGGAGAGCCAGTGTCAAAATAGAAAGCCGCCTCATTTCACCAGAGACAAGAAGTTGTAGAGCTTGCTGCTTGAGTTACAGCAATGGGTGTGAAGGTGAAGAGCCAACTGAGCATTGGTTGGGACACCCATGGGATACACTCCTGGGAATAGGGATCTCGGAGGGAGGGCCTAACGGGACATTTTTGTTTTGTGAGTGCGTATTAACTTACCTTACATAACAGGGGTTTTCCCTTAAATTTTAGTATCTTTTTGGTATTATAATGGTAAATTTGTTGCGTGTGTTGAGCAGTTGCCTAATAATACCCCCCCCCAGACAAATATTTCACACAACAATAAGCTTCCCTTCATTCTCTGTCAGCCAGGACATCATGTGATCAAGATCAAAGTTAATTTTTCCAGCCTTGGCAGCTGGTGTGATTTACAGCTAGGTTACCATGTCACTTTATATCAAAGCTTTTCTTTATCTGAAACTGTATCCTTGTTTTCTTTGTTATTAGCAATGATCAGTTACGGCCTATAAAACTCGCACTTATTTGAAGCTATTTCATTTAATTTTTTTAGTGAAATATTCAAACCCCAGACAAGCAACATTTAGAACATTTAGAAACGTTCAAATTTCCAAAAGATTTTAAAGTTATTTGTGTTTTCTAGGACAGTCTAGGAAGTTGTTGTTGGAAACTGTATATAACAAACCATATACATACATCACATCACTGACAAATGCTAACTGCTAAAAGCTACACTGTTTAGTTCACCAGCTAGTCATTAAACTTTTAGTTTTTATTATTGCAGCCAAACATGCCTGATTTCAAGTTGGCCTCAACAATTGTTTCAATCACTACATCTTCCTTTCTTCAACTTCCCGGAGGGACTTGCTAACTTTGTTTGGCAGTTTTTGCTGTTGCAAAAAAAAAGAGCTTAAACTAAATTAAAGGCAAATGCAGAGTTGGTTGAAAGGTTTGAGAGGAACAACTCCTCTCACATTACACAGATTAGTGCAGGTATGTGTATTGTGACCTACACTACAGAACAGGTGCAGATCACAATGTCAAGCTCATTGAGAAAACTTCCTCTCCTGATAAAATTACAAAGCCATTACACTTGTCAACAAAAGATAAGGTTACTGACACTGTTGAATGAAAATCTTGAGTCTGCAAAGTGGGATCTGGTCATAAATGAATAAAAACTGAACACAGAAGTTCATGAAAAACCTCAAAATGACCATGAACCATGAAGAACTTGGACCCATGAGGTTAACTGAGGGTATGTTTTACACTTGTTGCACTACATTATTGCAATCTATTATTATCTAACAAGGAAGCTTCCACCTCAGCATTGTAAACGTTCACATTCCTGGACAGTCCCACTTTGGTGATCTGTTACTATTTTAAGCACCTGCTATTTTTAGCACAACTGTGGTATACAAATAGATTCTAAACTCTGCATGACCCTAATGCAATAAAAGTTCAGATGAGTTCTCTGGAGTATATTTTTATTTCTTATTCATTCTGATTGGGTCTCCAGGAATGAAAAATGAAGCCTGGAAACACTGTAAATATAATTTGATGCTTCATTTATGGGAGGTTGATTTTCTATAATTTAGCTAGTGATTTTTCAGTAAGATCTTTCCTCTTGTGTATCTGTGAAATTATATGGGAAATACAGAGTTTGGTGCACACAAAGGTGGATGTAGGCCGACTGAAAAAAGTAGGAATACTGTAGATCTTTAACCCACATGTGGTAATTTACAAAACATGAGTTAATACTTGCAGACCATGAATGGATACTTCAGCAACCAGACTTTTTGACAGTCCTCAAATTGTATTTTGTACTGGGCTTTACCTGCTGGCCTATTTCTTCTGCTGAATGTAGAAACTTGGAGTCTTGTAACCAGCAAAGACCCCAAAAAGTGACATAACTTACTGCTAACGCCAAGCTCTGCCTTGTTCAAAAGCTGATTGTAATAAAAGAAAAAGTTTGACCTTCAAGGAAATATCATTCAGGAAGTACTGCTTGTTTATATAATCTATTAATATAGATTGTAGCATGTTGAAATAATACTATTTCATCATACAGCTATATAAAGAAGGAGGACGGCGTTTGGGTGGAGTGAGAACAGTGAATGATTCACAAAAGTTGCGTCATTCAGACCTATTATAAGTGCAGTAGTTTTGTTTACCTTGTTAAATACAAATAAACTTTTTTTTTTTTTTTAAAGTTTATATTCCTCAAAGTAAGGTATTGGGGAAAGAATTGTTTTGGTTCTGGTATCAAACCTAAGCTGCTGTATTTCCAGTAGTATTGACACACTACAAATAGTGACATCCTGATCAACCCCGAAACTCCATGAAACGCAAAAGTATATCTGCCTTTCATCATTCTGAAACATCTAAAGTCCACAGACAATGTGACTCATACTGTAATCTCAGCCATCATCATAAAGGTATCAATTTAGAAAGCAAACAATGAAAGGAATGTGATGTCACTGTAGCTCCTCAAAAAACAAGGCCGGATCAACCCATTTGCAGACCGTATTTCCATTTGGTTAAGCACAGTTTTATTTGTAAAATCCAGCATACAAGCACATTATATACATATATATGAAATAAGAGAGGCTTCAAGGAACACACGTGCTGCATGCTTTAAGTCTAAGTTTAATCATTACTGGCTAGAGGAAGAATACCAGTTGTCAACTTGGAAGCTGTAACAAGTGATTTAAGGCCACACAGCAGCAAATAATCAGTGGTTAAGATGACATAGCTGCTGCAGGTATATATTCATTCTTGGCATACCACTAATAATTGCAGCCACTTTTGCTTTCTCTGTGTCACTGAGGGTGATAATTGATTATTTTACACAAAGGTGCCAACTGCTTTCATGGTGTAAACCTGGGGAAATTTAGGAGGGCGATCTTCACTTGAAAAAACACACATTTGATAATGAATGTTGACAAATGACCAAATTAGCACAGTGGAATTCCAATTCACACGACAGCAAATAGAACAAATAAATTACTGACTAAGGGACTTTCTACTGAACACAGGCCTCAGTTTACCTTTCTGATCTCTCCATGCAATGATGAAATTCCATTTGCATGGGGCAATGTGAGCTGGTTACTGAATAACTTGTAATGGGAAGTAAAGAGTAAATGTAATCTTGCTGGAAGATCTTCACGCATGCCTAAATGTACAACACACACATTCAAAGTGAATGTTTGCAATAGCTGTCATACCTGGAAAATATTCATCGTATTCAAATTCCTGCAAGGGTATTGCAGCATCAGAAAACATGAAATGCAAACTTTTAATGCTAATTGCTAAAGATTTGTTGGCTCATTCATCTGGATTATTGTTTCTGGGCCCATTAACGTATGTCATTTAATCTCTGTTTTGGTCTCCACCAACTCCACAGAAACATATCTTTTGTTTTCAGTTAAACTAGATTCTAGTATTTGCCAGCTCACTTTGTCTGCCTGTGGTTTGGTACTGGTCAGGTTGTGTACAGTGAGTTTTTTGCTACAAAAGGCTGGTGGTTGATGAGAGTAGTGAGATTGAATGATACAATACAGTACATGTGTAGGCCATAAAAAAACTAATCAGTTAACTAAGAAGATAAAAAGATGCAAAGTTTGGTGATTCCACCGCAACAAATGACCAACCCTAACCCTGATCCAAGTCTAAGACAAGTCATATGCAGGTTTTTCAGGTCTTGAAACAGAATTTGAACATTTTCCCTTTAAATCAGTGTGTTTTTCACATAGCTAAGTTGAAGCACTTTCAATGAAAGGGCCTTTTACTGTAATGAAACGTGTCTAGGGTGTGTGACTATACACAAGTCACACACCTTAGACTTTTAGACTTAGACTTTAGTGACGTTTTTATAAAGTGAACAAAGTGTTTTTACTTTCTAAAAGTCAAGCCTTCAAGTCTCACTGAAGACAATTCCAAGTCTCAAGTACTCATACAACACAACACTGATACAGTGTTAGCAAACAGGTGTTAATTTACACATCCAGCAATTAGGAAGCAACATTATCATTTATTAAGTCTGTCTGTGTGCATCTGAGGCTCCTTTTAGGTAAATTCCACAAAGTTTACTCCTCTCTGGCTGTGTCTGTCTGCTGTTTGGTACTGAGCAGGAAATCTGATTCCGAGCCAAGTCACAGGTGTAGACTACAGCTTAAAATAATAAAAAAAACTTTATACATCTTTTCTAACACACTTCCTAGTCCCACTTGGAGGTTGTACTTGGCTCATTTCCAGTTTTACCAATCACACAGCCTTACACAATCCTGCCCAACTGGGGAAAACCCCAGACATGGCCTACTTAAGGAGTGAGAGTCAAACCTCTATCACACTCTCACTGAATGCCTTCAGACACTGTACGCTACTTAAGCTACTACAGCCTCACGCTGATTCAGACCGGCAGAGCAAGCACTCTGGAAACATGGCAAGCAGGAAAATGTGTCTCGTGGCAGCTCTGTGCTCCCTCGCCATCCTCACCACCTTTATCGGCAGCACGCAGTCAGGTGAGTACCTGAATCTTAAAGCTGTAACAAACAGAGTATAGATAGAATTAATATTGTATGATTTTTATATAGTAATTGGGGTAAAAACGTGGCAAAATAAACTGCTAAAAAATGCTATTTTGTTTAAATGTTGTGTTTCCAGCATCAAAATAAAAAGACTGCTCACTTTGTTTTTGCAGCTAGCTGCTGCCTGAGGTATACCAAGCGTCCGTTGCCGTGCCGGCGGCTGCTGAACTACAGCATCCAGACCATCAACACTTCCTGTGACATCCACGCCATTATGTGAGTTCAAAGTTTAATTTAATACTAACAGGTAGACAGGTAAAAACAGGTACAAACAATCAAACCAGGCAGGTATCTGCAGGACTCTGCCACAGCAAGATTTATGTTACACAGGAGAGTGAGGACGTGTTGCTTACATGTGTTATGAGTAAAGCAGATTTGTGGAGGACCCAGGACCTTTACAGGAGCTCAGACATTTCTATTTTGTTGACAATGTAGGCAGTTGACTGATTGATGTGACTGTATTTAGAATATGTAAGAATATAAGTTACAGTATTAGTAAAATGTACTATAACTATTATATCTAAATACACCTGAAATACAAATGTGGCAGAAAGAAGGAGGTGGCAAAATTTGAACCGGCTATAACACAGGAGATTGTGACTATATCTTTATTATTTTATATTTATATTTCATGTGTGACTTGCTCTTAGTCAGTTCAACAGTGTGCTGTATATTCAAACTGCAGTTCACATGTTCATTGTGCTTTCTTGATGAATTCTTTTATACTGCCAACAAAGATGAAATGTGTTTAAGATATTTAGTTCTTTTATCGAAGTGAAGGCAAATACATCCTGATTCTCAGGACACACATGAGAAAGTTATCCAGTGAGTTAAAGTGTAACCTAAATCATAAAGTGCTCTGTGGGAAGACGAACTGGGCTTAATACATAAGCTAGCACACTGGAATGAGACCCGATGAGAAACTATCCCTTCCGTGTAATTGAGTGCATTCATGCATCTCGTTTGTGATCATGAACTAACTTTTTCCGGGATCCCACAGCTTCCACCTTCCAGGAAGGTTTGTGTGTGCTGATCCTTCAGTCAGCTGGACCCGCAGAGGCATGGAGTGCATTAAGTGAGTATACTCATGTCTCTTTATTTTTCTCTACATTATATTAATTTGGTACTCTAACCAAATACTGAACCGAATTTAATGTTTCCATTTTTCTTTTTAGCGAAAGGAGGAGGAAGAACATTCAGATCATCAAAGAGGGGACACAAGGCAACACCACATCAACATAAGCTCTACGACAGCTAACTTCTGCAGCACATGACTCTGATATTTTATACATTTCTGCATCCAAGAATCCAATTTGCCTCTGAAAACTTTATTGATGTTGTAGTAACACTTCACCGTCTACACCAAAATCTTTATTTAATCAAATTCCTGTAACATAAGCTATCATGTCATTTGAATTCTTCTTTTATTTGTTCTATATTATGAACAGAGACGTGTAGTATTCTTAATACATAACAGTAAGCTGTAGCTACAGTGTGTCAACAAAATAGAAAACAATGTTATTTTTTGAAATGTTGTGTTGATGTTTACCAAGTTCTGACATTTTTGAGTCAGAGAGAATGAGTATGAAACACTGTCTTCTTAAATGAGTGTAATTGATATTTAAAAGAACTGATTAAAACAGATATTTAATTATGTGTCATGTGTCAATATGGATTTCACTACATTCACCATGTCCACACAGGTCATTTTGTACTTTTATTTTAAGGTCTGACATTTTCAAAATACTTGAATTTATTACTTGAACATTTGATTTTATCTATATATAGAAACAAGAGTAAAAAAAAAAAGTGTCACAAAAATATATATCATATCTTGCGATCTTCAAGATTTTATCTTACTTTGCAGTAATTAGTCAGTGAGTCAGTCAGTACAAAGGATTACAACTGCATGAAAAAAAGCGCTTTGAAATTTGTAATAGACAAGCCAAAGGGCATGTTTTTTTTTTAAAGTTGCAATACAAAATAATTTTAAATAACAGAAATGCATGTCAAATTAAATGATTTAAAGCCCCTTATCACAAAGTTTCCCATAGTTTAAATGAACTGATACTGATTGTATCATATATAATCTGTATCATCTTGTTCCAGTTCAAACTATACGAAGACAGTCAGTCAAAATAGCGACACAACTATCTTTCTCCAGAGCTGAAGACATAAATAGGAGGCTCAATCAGTGGCATGGGGCACAGCTGGGCCCGGTGCGCTCCATACATAAAGCCAGAGCTGCAGCTAGTGTGTGTAAATCTCCTCACCCTACACACCTTTGTTTTTACAGCACATATTCCTCCCATTCATTTGTTTGTTTTTTGATTATATAGTTTGTTATCTCATTAATTTCTAAATAATGAACAGGTCCCTATATAAAATATCATAACATTGTGGCAGTTGTCTATGAGAGGGGAAAAAAGTGCTGGTTAAAAGTAATATAACTTTTCATTTCACAGTTTAAAAAAAAAAAAAAGAAAAAGAATCTGAATCAACCGTGTATAGGGACCCACAGAGAGATGTTTTACTTGTCTTGAACAGAGTGAGCAGATTATTTTTAACCGAGAAGTCAAAGGCAGAGCTCACATCCTCTTTAGTCTTTCAAAACTGAAAAAATATTCACAACTTGATCTTCTAGTATGAGCTGTTTTACAGGCCCAGAGGCTGTAAACCTGACACAGAGAGATTGTATTTCATGGTCTGTCCATAACAGTGAGGAGGAACCTGTCTTCAGCGTAATCTTCTGTGGTCGTCAGAGCCTGGCGGAGTTTCTCCCAGAACAGCTCGGGGTGCTCCTCGGCTTGCGGCCAGCTCAGGTAGGTCTGCCTCTTCAGCAGCCTCCTCATGCGGTGGAAAGGAGACAGCTCAATTGTGGGAATGTCCTCCAGAAACACCAGGATCAACACGTCCTTCCGCTCATCGAACAGACGGAAGCTGGACGGAGGAGAAAGACAGATGGAAGAGGTCAAAACTAAACTAGTTTTGTGTATCAACGGAATAGCTGTCAAGTTCCTACACTGTAAGCAATTGCTGTAAACATCAAAGTAAAGAGCCTGGCAGCAGAGGCGATACGTTTTTAACGGTTAATCCCGTAAAATGATTTAAGTAGTGACTGTAAAAAGAAATGCGGGTATATTCTGCTATGTCTATAAATTACGTTAAGAGCTGGCAGCAGGGACGCCAGCAATAACCTTAAATTTAGGTATTCGATACTGTAAATTTACTTTTACAGTAGTAGTCTGGTAAACGCAGAAATACAGTTTTTTCTATATTCAATTGTAAATGACTCACAGTCTAATACAGAAAAAAATAAATGCGCATATTCCTAATTACTTGAAATTACACAATATTCTGTTTAACTTGTTACTTTAACTTAGTTTACTGTAGACAGCACAAGTAGATAATACAATAACTCAATTTAGCAGTTTCTAAAATTCTGTCTTAAAGCCAATCAATATTAGAACTTCATTATTCTCAGGGCTATAGACAATTGCTTAGCATTTGTGAATATTGTGCAAATAAGCAATTGAAAACAGAGAAATCAAGATAATTTATTTCAAAAGCATTCAAGCAGAATACTGAATATCCTACTTTCAAAATGGGAAAAAGAAAAAATAAACATGTTGGTGACCCTGAGAAGAGATTTCGATAGCAAACAGAAACGACTAGTACCGTGCTGTTAGACATGCGGATAAACTAATTTTAAGATGCTTGTCAGAGCATAACCGTGTCAGGGGCATGCTATGCTGACTCTTTGGGCCAATGTCAAAGAATCTTATATTCTCTTTACACATAAGTTTAACACTTGTTCAATAACACAACGGTCTAAAAAAAACCAACGAACAAAACAGAGGAATAAGAGTTTAACCTATCTGTGAGCGATGCTTTGTTCTTGCAAAAACCATTTAAATACACTCAGAATTCACTGCATAACCTCGCTGCCAGCAACATATAAACAGTAGAGAATTTTGAAACACCATAAAACTACTTAACATAGTCCTGTGAGTTAGATAAAATTTCCGTCAAAATCAAAAAGTTACATGATGTAATCTGCAATGTATTGTCTGCTGTCTGTGAAAATGCAGAATTGACAACTGGTAAGACATTTTGAAAAAGTGCTTAAGGCCATTTCGAAACTATTACAGTAGTTAGAACATTTTGACATATGATCATAATATGGATCAAAAACAACATTAGGAAGAACTGTATAGGCACCTGTGGCATACAAGTTTCGGACTTCAGTTTACTCTTAAAATAGTCCTGTGAGGCTAGGTTTGTTTGTTACATCTAAAATAGTCTGAGGTAGGTTGTGTTTTTAGTCTTAGTTCCGTGGAGTCTGGGTGGGTTGAACGGCCCTGATTCAAATCCTTGTGGATCCGGAGAGATACCCATCGTTGTTAGCGCTGTTCTCCCTGTAGCATTATTCCAGTGTGCCCTGTCAAACAATAACAAACAAATATTTACAACAGGAATGTACATATACCTCCAAGCTAATGCTTAAAAGGTGTAATACAGTTTCTTGTGGCTTAATGTGGCAATGCCGACTGGCAAAACAATGGCATGGAGCCACCTAACTAGCTTAATTCCGTTCAGCGGTCCATCTGTACCAACAAACACTTCACTTCAAATCGACACCACAAAACAATAAACTCACGCCAAACCTATCTCTACGGCGATGTTCCAAAAATCC